ATTAGAAAGCCTGAACAAAATCAACATTATTAAATCAATATTTCCAAGTTTAACACGTTGACTGTCCGATGTATCATATGTGATGCACTATACTTTGGACTGAGACGTCCCGTGCATCACATATGATGCACGCGCTGCATATGATATTTAAGCTACTGAGAGTTATCGGCACAATGTAAACAGTACCCGCGGGAGCGGGGGGGGGGGGGGGGGAGAAGCTAGGGGGGTGGGGGGGTTGTACTCCCCCCTCCACATCCCGCCGATAATTCGAATTTTTTTTTCAACAATGGAAGCTGATTTGGAAAAAATTTTGTGTTTTTTCTAGCAAGTTTTTCTCTATAGTATTATTCTAAGAGAGACAATTGAATCATATGTGTTGCATGGAAAAAAAGCATCAAAGATATGTTTAAAACTTATTTTTGTGGTAGATGAACGTAATACACTTCAGAAATAATATATTTTAAAAGTACGAAAAAAGTAAAAAATGGACGTAGAACAAGTACTCTTTTTTTTGTATGGGGACAGTCAACGTGTTAAAATAATAACTTACCAACATTTGTCATATACTTCGTCCATTCCAAGATGAATGTGATTAGAAGGAAATCTTTGTTTTACTTCTCGAAGTAAGGTATCCATAGCTGTAAAAACACGTGGTTCACTTGGATTAAATATTTCCATTTCGCCTTGTACTGCATATATTGCTTGATAAGGTTTTCCATTTGCCCAACATACAGTAATCAATTCAGGCATTGATTTACTCCAAGAAAATGTATGACCAGGTGTGTCGATCTATTATTTAGATAAAAACATACTTAATCATAGGATCTACAATTAGCAAACCTCTGGTATAACACGAATACCACGTAGTCGAGCATGTTCAATAACATCAGCAACATCTGTTGGAGTATACACATGATCAGGTGAAAATGCTCCCTTAAAATATTATTCATTTATATATATCGAAACAAAATGAGTATCAATCAATTACTTTTCGAGATAACTCAGGAAAAGAAGTACTTTCGAATGGAAATGATTGATCATCAACAAGATGCCAATGAAACACATTTAGTTTGTTATATGACATAATATCCTATATAGTAATAGTACACAACAGTATGTCAAATAAATAAATATAGTTTGATATAAACACTCACAAGATTCTTTTTAATAATTGGTACTGGTAGAAAATGTCGAGCTGT